AATACCTTGATTTCCCCAATGATTCATTTTGCCATGTTGATCCCCGACTGTCTCTATGCTGATCTCACTTTTGCCCACCACTTGTTCAATTTATTTCAGAAAATTCCTTTGTGCTGTGATAACTGCAACCATTTCACACTGGAAAATTATTCATCTTTACAATCGGCTTACTATGACTGTTGGATAGTCACTGTTTCTATTCAAATGTAAGCATGTATTTGAGCGTGGCGTCATGACAAGGGAAAGTCAGCAAATCCCAGAAGTATCATTAATCCCGAGTAACAAACTCTGGAGAATTCATCATATTTATTCATTTTGATGTATTTATAAATTATTCAGCTTTCCTGTTGTTCAATAAAGTTGGTATGACATTACAAGTTAAACTCTTTGACTAGACAGTATCTGTGATGAGTTTCCTAAAATTGAAACAAAATTTACAAGATGCCTTGAAGTGTTTATCTTTAAAATAATGGTGTCAAATAATTGTATTTTATTTAATTTAATGCCAAGTGATCATATTTTAGAACATTTATTTTTCAAAGAAAATGATAGATATAGCACATATATACAATCAGATCAAGTGCAAGATCATATCCTTCACTGAAAATATGATGCAGCTGCCCTAATTGATGATACGTACTCCACACTCTACTACATCTCAATTTTCATAGGGTCATATTCATATAAGATACAAATTTTATTATTTTTAAGATAACCTTTTTCTTGTCAAAAAGTTGAAGGATTTTAACAAATTCAGCATTATGGTTAAAATTAGTGAATTTTATATAATATTTTTTCAAGACTTAGCATGAGTAAAACAAATTCACAGATTTGGATAAAAAACTCAGAATGGCATAAAAATCTGCAAGAAATTTTCATCCATTAATAATCAGTTGTGCTTAGTTTAATTTGTAACGAATATAAATGTAGATAAGAAATGTGCTGCCCAAGGCCTCCAATCAGATTCAGCAGGGATGGGAGGTAGTACACACCAACTCTGGATGCAATTACAAGATGCATATTACTTATTCACTTAAAATTAATCATTAACTAATTAGTTCATTCACTAAATTCAATCTGGAAAACTGCTCAGCTAAAAGCAACAAAAATAAAGACAAAAATGAGGGATTATGGCTCTTCTCAACGTCCTATGCTTTATAACTCTTAGCAATTTCTGTTTTTTACTATCTTGTGCAGGTGGTGTAATGGATAATGGCTCAAAATTTTAAATCAGGGAGCTGAGTTCTATTTCCAGGTAGGTTTGTTATATTCACTTATGTGCAAATACCCTGGGTTAGATATGAGCCCACCTCTTCTCCTTCCAGCTATGGGTTAATCAGTAGGACTTGTATCAGTAAATCTTTATTATCTCCTAAAAAATTCTTACAATCTGATGAAATATTTTCTGGCTTTAAATAACCTGTAAAAGGTTGGTAAGTCATAAAAAAAAACATTGGCGATTATGGCTCTCCACAATATCCTGTCCTTTGTAGCTCTTAGCAATGTTTGCTTTTTATTATCCTTCCTCTTCCTTGATCTGCCATCTGTTGACGCAGGCTTGTCAGGTGTGTCACTTGTTGTTGCCATCTGCACCTCTTACTGTGAAGTTTTATGGCCACATCACATTGAAACCTGTATAATTACTGAAGTTAAGCAATGTCATGCCTAGTCAGTACCTAGATGGGTGGCCACTTGGGAATGTCAGGTGTTGTAATCTTGGATGTGTGAATGGGTAATGGATACATGCTTGGAATTGTTATTCAGGGAGCCAAGTTCCAATTCAGGTTGGGTTCGTTATATTCACTTATATGCAAATACACTTGGGAAACATGAATCCACCTCTTCACCCACCAGATATGGCTTAACTAGAAACATTGTATCACTAAACCATTATTATCTCCAAAAAACAAATTCTTACAATTTAAAAATATTAGACAAGTTTTAAATAATCTGCAAAGTTTTGGTAAGTCATAAAAAGAAATCAATCAATCAATCTTGCCTTCAGTATTTCCCGTCAGTGTCAAATTCTCAAAGACTGTAACCAAAGCAACTTTATTGCTACTCACATGTCCGGTATTCTCAGCATCCTTCTGTAGAGCCATATTTCTGTTGTTTCATGTCTCCTCTGTAGCAGTTAGGGAAATAAAGACTCTGACCAAAGCAACTTTATTGCTACTCACATGTCCAGACTTTAAACAAAGCAACAATGGTCCTTTCATAGAAAGTATAGGAAGGATAAAAGATGTGAATTCAAATCATAACAGATGTTTATTCTTTATTTGCAATCTATTTGGGCCACACTTCAAATGATTATTTCATACATGTGGAATTGACAGGCATCAACTCTGTTGTCATTATTACAATATTTTGGCTATATACAGATATCTCATCCTGTTCTTAAATTCTGGATCGGACAGGTTAGATTTCTGGCTCCAAGATCCACACTAAGGATTGTTCCAGTGAACAATAGCCTAGTGGATTAAGAGATTGCTTTGTGAATTTAGAGACATAGTAAGTTCAATCTCTGGCCTGGGTAGTGTATACATGGAATAAGTAAAAATGAGACAAGCAGTAACTAAACAGTATTAAATAAGAATTAGGTGAGACATGGTGAGCAGAAAGAGAATAATTTACCAATGTAGATAGAATAGATGGTAAAGTTTGAGATTCACTTAATGTTTAATCTAATGTAGGGTGGAAGACTCATCATATGAAACATAGTGATAACAACAACAAAGATGTTCAAAATTTAAAATTCTTCAATAGAGGCTGGAAGGCATAATCACTGAACCACAGTGATAACAGTAACAAAGATGTGCAAAATTCTCTGGTGAAGGTTGGTAGACACAATGACTAAAACAAAGTGATATCAACAATAAAGATGTTCAAAGTTCTCTGGTGAAGGCTGGTAGACACAATGGCTGAAGCACAGTGATAGCAACAACAAAGATCTTCAAAATTCTCTGGTAAAGGCTGGAGGGCACACTGGCTGAAACTCTTTGATAACAACCACAAAAATATTCAGAATTCTTTGGTGAAGGCTAGAAGGCACAGTGGCTGAAGCACAGTGATAGCAACAACAAAGATGTTCAAAATTCTCTGGTGAAGGCTGTAAGGCACACTGGCTGAAACTCTTTGATAACAACCACAAAGATATTCAGAATTCTTTGGTGAAGGCTAGAAGGCACAGTGGCTTACCTCACAGTCGGTGGGGGGGGTGTAAACGGTAGTGTCAGAGCTATGCTGCCCGGAACTTTGTTCCTGGTAGGGCCACTCAAGGCAGACAGGTCTGACACACACGCCGGCAACAAGGGCTCTGGTGAAAATCCAAGGAGCGCCTGCATCGGTAACGGCAGCTTCTGGTCGCTCCTGTCTCTCTGCCTGTGGGAACCCCAAGGCAAGCAAGAACGTTATCCGAGTATGCCTGGGTACCCTACTTCTGTAATTTATCCCAAGAATCTTCTTCTCATAACAGGAAGAAGCCAGCTCAATCCACCCAGGGTGAATGCCGCATCAGTACAGTACAGTAGTACAGTGGCTGAAGCACAGTGATAGCAACAACAAAGATGTTCAAAATTCTCTGGTGAAGGCTGGAAGGCACAGTGGCTGAAATACAGTGATACCAACAAGAAAGATGTTCAAAATTCTCTGGTGAAGGCTGGAAGGCACAGTGGCTGAAATACAGTGATATCAACAAGAAAGATGTTCAAAGTTCTCTGGTGAAGTCAGTGGCTGAAACACATTGATAAAACAATTCCCCAGGGAAACAATGTAAATGAGGTATTATACTTTATAATTAGCAATTAATAATTATGTCTTCATAAATTTTTTTTTTTGTTAAGTAGAGTGGGTTAAGTTAAAATCCCACAGACACCAAAAATATATTTATGTCATGATTTTTTGCCCATCCTATTCTAACTACCTTACTTTTCTTTTGTTTCCCTGTCTCTCTTTTAATGCCATTTCCCTTATTTGTTGTTTGTTCCTCTTCTTTCTTCTTTTTCTTTTTTTTCTTTTTTTTTTCTTTCTTATTATCCTTTTTTATTTCTTACTTAAAAAAACAAAAAACGTTACAATTCATTTTTTTAACAAACGTTTTTGCATTGACAAGCCCCAGGAAGAATATCCCCGTGTGTGAAATAGCCAAATGAATGAATGGGGTAACATTTTTACAAAGAAATATATGCCCATCAGTAGGATTTCATTTTTATGTAATTCTTTTATATCCTATATAATATATATTTTGAGCCCTCTTTTGTGGATCAGTTTTTATATTTTATATGTGTGGGTTATTTATATATATGTCTAAAGTTATAGGAATATTTATTTTTCAAACACGGTCAGCACATTTTGGCCGTGTTCATAGTTGATGTTATTGAGTGTTGGTTTTTCCTTTTTTTATTATTAGGGTTTCCATTATTTTTGTGAGCTTTTTCAAACTTTGTGTCCAGAAAGGAAAACACTTGTTGGAACACAAGAAAAATTAAATAAAAAGCTTAATCACAGTACCTTGTCAGTTGTCTTTAATGAAACACACACACACACACAAACACATATACATGTATACACACACACACACATATATATATATCTTCATATATATAAACATTCAAACAAATACTTTTTGTTTTTTTATTGTTGGATCTGATAGGTAATTTAATTTATTGCCCCTCTTATCCTCAAAAATCCCAATGCAGTTTTGTATTTCTTCCCATCCTGGAGAGGCTGGACCTAATACATATTGGTGAGATGCATCATTAAAAAAATCTCCTACACTTCCTTTTATTATCTCCACTTTTTTTTCAGATACTATCATACATCCTACTGATGGGCATATATTTCTTTGTAAAAGAATACAAATTTCATTTTTCGAACCGTGAAAAAATGTCATAAAAACTAATACTGCTGTTCATCTTTTTTATCAAATATTAATTCTTCATTTGAAGAATTTACTTTTAATATATATTTTTTTTATATTCAGATATTCAATTTACATCTGGATGCTTCAGTTAACAAACGTATGAAGTTTGCCATTCTAATGTATCAATTATTTGCTCGTTGATTTTGTTGAATATCCTTCACCATTTTGTCATTTCTATTTTTTGTTTCCATTTTTTTCCATTTTTTCCATTTCCATTCTTCTGTTCCCAATTTTTTTTCATTATTCTAGTTCATGTAAAGAGATATTAAATATAACCACTCCTTTCTTCAGCCTTCATCAGGTTAATGTCACATCCAAGAGCCTTAAACCTTTATTTAAAATGTCACCCGTATTGCTTGTCACATAAGTGACAGGTGACAATATCTGCATTTTTCTGTTTGATTCTTGCATTTTTGCTTTCTCTCCTCCACATAGAATCTTTTTTCTTTCCTTTGAGTTTTTTGTTAAGCTATTTTTTTTTCAAAAGCATTGAGTGAAAACTGAATCCAAAAACCAAGAAGAGATTGCTTTGTTGCTTGATCTCTATGAATTCGTGTTATAATGAGTGATTTGATTTTTACAGTTTATCAACCTTTTGCATGTTATTTAAAGCCAGATAATATTCTTAGATTTTAAGAATTTTTTTTGAGATAATAATTATTCACTGATACAAGTCATACTAATTAACCCATAGCTGGGGAGAGAAAAGTTGGATTCATAAATTTTCACAAAGATATGTGTGTGTAAATGAATATATTGATCCTTACTGGAATTTGCAACTCAGAATTGGAACTCAGCTAAACCATTATCCACTACACCAATGACACATCTAAGCTTACAACATCTGATATTCTCAAGTGTTCACCCATCTAGTAACTGACAAGGTTTGACATTGCTTAACTTTAGTGATTATATAAGAATCTGTTTCAGCATGATATGACCATCAAGTGATTTTGTATCCAAAGTTATTTTCATGAGTGCAACATCTGATATTCTCAAGTGTTCACCCATCTAGTAACTGACAAGGTTTGACGTTGCTTAACTTTAGTGATTATATGAGAATCTGTTTCAGCATGATATGACCATAAGTCCTCAAGTTTTTTGTATCCAAAGTTATTTTCATGAGTGCTTACAACATCTGATATTCTCAAGTGTTCACCCATCTAGTAACTGACAAGGTTTGACATTGCTTAACTTTAGTGATTATATGAGAATCTGTTTCAGCATGATATGACCATAAGTCCTCAAGTGATTTTGTATCCAAAGTTATTTTCATGAGTGCTTACAACATCTGATATTCTCAAGTGTTCACCCATCTAGTAACTGACAAGGTTTGACGTTGCTTAACTTTAGTGATTATATGAGAATCTGTTTCAGCATGATATGACCATAAGTCCTCAAGTGATTTTGTATCCAAAGTTATTTTCATGAGTGCTCACAACATCTGATATTCTCAAGTGTTCACCCATCTAGTAACTGACAAGGTTTGACGTTGCTTAACTTTAGTGATTATATGAGAATCTGTTTCAGCATGATATGACCATAAGTCCTCAAGTGATTTTGTATCCAAAGTTATTTTCATGAGTGCCAACATCTGATATTCTCAAGTGTTCACCCATCTAGTAACTGACAAGGTTTGACGTTGCTTAACTTTAGTGATTATATGAGAATCTGTTTCAGCATGATATGACCATAAGTCCTCAAGTGATTTTGTATCCAAAGTTATTTTCATGAGTGCTTACAACATCTGATATTCTCAAGTGTTCACCCATCTAGTAACTGACAAGGTTTGACGTTGCTTAACTTTAGTGATTATATGAGAATCTGTTTCAGCATGATATGACCATAAGTCCTCAAGTGATTTTGTATCCAAAGTTATTTTCATGAGTGCTTACAACATCTGATATTCTCAAGTGTTCACCCATCTAGTAACTGACAAGGTTTGACGTTGCTTAACTTTAGTGATTATATAAGAATCTTTCAGCATGATATGACCATAAGTCCTCAATCCAAAGTTATTTTCATGAGTGCTAAACATCTGATATTCTCAAGTGTTCACCCATCTAGTAACTGACAAGGTTTGACGTTGCTTAACTTTAGTGATTATATAAGAATCTTTCAGCATGATATGACCATAAGTCCTCAAGTGATTTTGTATCCAGTTATTTTCTGAGTGGACAACATCTGATATTCTCATGTTCACCCATCTAGTAACTGACAAGGTTTGACGTTGCCAACTTTAGTGATTTATAAGAATCTTTCAGCATGATATGACCATTCCTCAAGTTTTTGTATCCAAAAGCTCTATTATTTTCAAATTTCATTTGTTATCAAATTTTTTTGTTAAATTTATTGGCTGAATGGACGGCATTAATTGACTTAGAAGTTCTGTGTCTTGTGTGGAAGCAACTTTTCCATTTATTTAAAGGTTTCTTTTTTCTTCTTTTGTTTCTATAAAAGGATGCTTTTGTTAATGACTTTATTAAAGTCTCCATTTTGCTTTCAGTGATTAGTGCATCTTTTTATGTGTTTATTCATATCATCTCTATATACAAAAGCCAGTGTCCACAGACTTGTAATACACAAAACTTGTCATGATGTTTTATAGTTTTTCTTACTCAGAAATCATGAAAATTGATTCAGATTTTTGTAATCAATTCACTCCAAGCAAAGGAATAGAAGCCACTAGTATTCAAGTGGTTTTTGAGAGTGAAAGATATAGAGATGATAATAAAAGAATGGGATTCAAGGAGATAGAAGAGGATGGCCGACTTACTAACATCTCATGGAACAGCTGAAGTATGGATAAACAAAAATAACAAAACATGTCAAGAAGTGTTTTTTTTTTTAAAAATCAATATCACACCATATAAGGCAGTAAAGCCACCAAGAGGTTACTGGGTGGGGAAGAATTAAGAACAGAAAGATTAATAATGAACAGGAAGAGGAAAGTGTAATCAGGAAGACAGTAGATAGTGATGGATATTGTATTTAAATTTTTGCAGATTAATATTGGCTGGAAAACATGGAGGAGGAAGGAGTTTTGCAAGCAAGGAGTTCAAGAAAAGAAACTGTTAGCATTGAATTTACAGTTACATCGAGCAAGCTCAACTGTAGATTGCCAGTCTAGTACTGTGTTTAAATTCATACTGTCTAGGTACCATAGTGAAGTGCTCATCCAAACAATTGAAAGTATTTATAGAAAAGGAACAAGAAGGCAATCTTACAGCAGTGGGAAAGAGACTGAAGCTGAGCTGCAAGATCAGGGCCAATAATATTGCAGAATCTGTGGATTTTATCAAGGAGCTCCAGGAAAATAGCAGGAGCACCGGACTATCTGTGGCAGCTATATTCTGGATGAATGGTAGATTTATCGATATGTAAGATAGAATCTGGTGAGAAAAATTGTCTCACATGACACAATGAACCAGTTTTCTTAGCAACTGACCTCGCAATGAATTCAATATAGTTTTAAACATTTATTATATTTATGTAATGTAATATTCCTTAAATATATGATTCTTTCTTGGAACAGCTGAAATATGGATAGACAAAAATAACATGATCCATATGAGAAGGGGGAACTCTCTTGTTCATATCAAATGTACCATTGGAATGAATAATTTATGTTCTGAAGAATTTTATTAAAGTATTTATTTTACTTATTTGTATAAATATAAATCTATTTATACTTATGTTGTCACCTTTTCGTCATCCATGCCATCAAGGGAACTGTGGACTTGAATTGATTCCTTCATTTTCATTAACCATTGTTTGAACTCATTAACTAATTTCTTATTTAACACTTAGCATAATATTTTGCTAGATTTGAAAGAATAAGACCCTGTTTGTACTAATTCTACTCTTTGATTTTATAAACATTTAGATGTGAATTTAAGCAAGCATTTAATTTAAAAATCATTCTTAATTTTCTCCATTGCAAATTTTGCTTTGAGATTATTTAGTTTAATAACTTTAATCTCCTATAAGTAACCTGAAACATTTCATTTTGTAAATTCTGGTATTAAAAATAAATTTGTGTGTTTAATGAAATAGAAACGTGTCAGTTAAAGAAAAAATTGCAAGCAGTTAAAAGCAAAATGAAAAAAAGGCAAACATTTGACAGCCAAAAATATTTGCAAAAAATATTTATTGAGAAAACCAGAAATCAAATTGATATCAACTGAAAGAAATCTCAAAGACATAATTCCATCAACTTTCAATAAAGTTTGAGACTTCTTCAGGACATGCGCTTTCATGGCTCTCCACAATTTCTACTCTTTTTTAGCTCTTAGTAAGTTTTGTGTTTTTGCTATCTCTCCTAATCCCTGTCTGCCAATCATTGACACAAGTCTGTTAGGTAATTTATTTTTTGCTTCCCTCTGTCTCTCTTGCCATCAATATGTCCTGTGAGTTTCAGATTGTCCAAGACCTCTTTCCTCATTATTTGCCTGTGAAATTTCAACTTCCTTGTTTGAGTTCTAATTATAAGTTTCCTTTTTGCTTCCATTTTCCTAAAACTTTGTCAGTTCTTAGAGTTGATGTTTAGTCCTTTCTTCTTGCTTTCCTTTACTATCTTCTTTTGGAGTTTCCATATTTCCCTTCCATTGTCTGCTATCAACACTGTATTGTCTGCTTATCTTATGTTGTTAAGATTCAAAAATGAATCCTCGTATAACTTTCAATTCTATCCGGATTGCTTCACTGTGAATGTTCAATAAGTTCGGTAAGAAAACCCAACTTTTGTCTTACACTGCTTTTTATGTTTGTGTATTTAGTGAATTCCTTGTTTGTTATTTACATGTGGACTGTAGATCTTATTTTTGTTGCCATTATTGTAACATTTCAGTGATTGCGTGGTTATGAGGTGCTTATTGATCCAGGTAATCTTCAATGGATTGCAATATATATCTAGAGCAATAATTATTCTATCCAAATATTAAAAGTTCAGAAGATAGATATATATATATATTATAAATTAATTGATTTAAAATATGGTTCATTTTGCTACACAGTTCTAACCATGTTTCAAAAATGGAAGCTGAAAGCTCTGAATTTAATTTTGTAATTAAATTAAAGACATTAGTTCCATCTCATCCTCAAGCGAATTTTGGAGTAATTTTTAAAATTACTGGGTTTTAAAGACACAGCAAAAATCATAATTCACGTTTCCAAGGATAAAAAGTAATCCAATTCAACCAGATAAGGTGTGTTTGCATGTTCACTATGTCTGTATTTTGATGTATCAGTTATTAATTACGTTTTGGTAGGGGTAGGGATGTATTTTTCAATGAAATCTGACATCTGTTAAATGCATGTCATCTGAATTTTTTAAAATTTTATTGTTAACGGCAAAAATTTTTATAAGAACACCGGATTATATATCTTACTGTTCTTTCATTTTATATATATATATATATATATATATATATATATATATATATATATATATCAAAGTGTAGGAGAACGAACAGTAAGATTACAGCATTCAAAACCAGTGCACAATACACAAAGCAGAGCCGTAAATATTTATTCATCTTATGCAGTGTTACATTAGAACATGCACATATCCACTGAAAAATTGTACATTTTTGTTTCAACGTCAAGACGCCTAAAAAAGTTTTCCCCTTTTTTGACATTGAAACAAAAATGTACAATTTTTCAGTGGATATGTGCATGTTCTAATGTAACACTGCCTAAGATGAATGTATATGTGTGTGTGTGTACGCTTTCTGACCATGAGACTCAGGTTTGAATCACACCATGGTCAATTTGTTAGGAAAGCGACTTCTTGATGTTATTAGACTGGATCAAGGTCAATCCCAGAGTGCAGCACCTTTGGAAAGTGACTGAAAACGAAGCCACAGGTTGACTCAAGCCTTTTGAGTGAAATTGGTTAGACAGAACTCTTGTAGTCCGTCGATAGCTCTGCTAACATGAAGCCATAAGTCATCATGGCCAAGTGCTTGAGCATGCTGGCCTTGTTCAAACTATTGATCACATGGGATAACAAGGTCACTCCCAGAAACTGTAACTAAGGTCTACTCAGCATAGTTGCAGTATAAACTACAAGTGGGCTCTGTGGGTGTTGCCTGAGCGAGCATCTGCAATAGGGATTGGCTAGCCGCCATAGTAGATGGGTATCCTTGAATACAAGTGGCCAGCTATTAATATTTATATATATATATATATATATATATATAAGATGAAGACATTAGAATGAATCCTACTAGGCAGACACACATACACTATTACAAATACACATTACCATCTGATACCTGCTTAGACATACAAGAATCTTACAAACTTACATATATAGAGAATTATCTATGACTTTAATGCACATGATACATGACTGTCCAACAAGAAGTGACCCAAACAAAACTGAAAATACTAAAGTTTCTGTCTTTTTGCCTGTTTTCTTTCAATTTCTGTTAGATTGATAAATGCTTCCTTTTTTGTTTTTATCTTATCCCCATATATGGGCATTTCTGTGTGTGTGTGTGTGTGTGTAATAAATTTCAGATATAACTAAAATATATCTGCAAAGACAAAAGGAAAACTTATCTTAGCCAACACATTTCATCATCTGACAGACTTTCTCAAAGCAAATGAAATGCATTGGCTAAGATAAGTTTTCCTTTCATTTTTAATTATATATATATATATATATATATATATATATATATATATATATAGAGAGAGAGAGAGAGAGAGAGAGAGAAAGAAAGAAAGAAAGAAAGAAAGAGAGACAAGACAGACACACATGACTGCATATTGCCTGACAGTTTCATACTTAAAGCAATCTTCAGACCATACATCACTACTCCTTTTATGGGTTCTATATATAGGTCACTGTGGGATTAATGGTAGTGGAAAAAGAGGAAGCTAACCCTTCTAAGTTTGTTGCTTTGTTTAGGTCAAATGGTCTAGTTTTTTTTGTTTTATATTTTTATCATGATCTTTAATTTGTTTACTTCATTGATTTGTTTTAATTTTATTCATAAATTCATTTAAATATTTCATTTATTTATTAGTCTCTTTTTGTTCCCAATTTTGGTATTTTAAATAGACTTTATTAGATTATAGGATTTGTTTAGTTTTGTCAGACATGATGTGGTTGTCGTTAACATAGTAGGAATTAGTTTTTTTTCTGCCTTTAGAAATGAGTTCTGGTCATTACTACTTTAGGAGTTTATCTACTTCAGGAAAAGTGATTATTGTTATTTGCTCCTCTCGGTAAATATTGCTTTTTCAAGTTGTTATTGTAAACTAGTGTTGATTTTTTATTCTCTATATTATTTTTGACTTTGCTATAAGTGAGTTGAATTTTTATTTTCTTCTTAAATGTTGTTTTATGTAAGTAGCGTCTCTGTTTACAGGGACCTTTTGTTAATTAAATATTAATTAACTACCAAGTAATTAATACAGAGCTATAAGGGGACTTCCAAAAGTTTTTAGTCGAATTCTTAATAACATGACAGCATAAAATGATAAATTTATTTTATTGTTGAGAAAATTTATTATTTTCGAATAAAGGTTGTTTACACAGGACCTGCTGACTGGTTCTTCTACAGATGTCAAATCCTAATGACATTCACCAGTACAAGATTTGAAAATTTTGTACAACTAGCAATTTACATATTTTGCATTTATTTATAAATTTAGTACAGTGTAACCTGTTTTATGATCAAACATTCAATAACATTTTTTATTTTGATTTTTATTGGTCATCATCAATTGATTCAATTTTTTTTTTATTGATTCTGACATAAACCACAAGAAGATACTGAAATCAATATTTTTAAAATTTTTGCATATTATTTAAATAATATATTATAATAAAGCAATAAAATAAAATAATTTCAAATTATAATAAAATATTCAGATTAATTCCCGCTTCTCTCTCCTCTCTCCCTCTTCTCTCTCCTCCCTCCCTCTCTGTCTTCTCTCTTCCCTCTCTCCCACTTCTCTCTTCTCTCTCCTCTCACCCTCTTCTCTTTCTCTTCTCTCTCTCCCTCTTTTTTCTCCTCTCACCCTCTCCTTCTCTCCCTCTCCCTCTTCTCTCTCTCCCCACTTCTCCCTCTTGTCTCTTCTCTCTCCCACTTCTCTCTCTCCCTCTTCTCGCTCTCTCTCTCCCTCTTCTTTCTCTCCCCCACTTCTCACTCTTGTCTCTTCTCTCTCCCACTTCTCTCTTCTCTCTCTCCCCCACTTCACCCTCTTGTCTCTTCTCTCTCCCACTTCTCTCTTCTCTCTCTCTCCCTTTTCTCTCTCCCCCACTTCTCCCTCTTCTCTCTTCCACTTCTCTCTCTTCTCTCTCTCTCTCTACACATTTGGTTCTTTGGCCCCCTTTTGACCTTTTCAGTTTCTCACACAAGCATATACACACATATATCTATCACACAAACACATATATGCACACACATACACAAAGAAGTACATTCTTCTTCTTAACTTGTTTTAATGTTTTTTTTACTTTCATTACAAATGTCTACATAAGTAATTCTTTTTGTTAATACATGCATTTTCATTTCTTTTATATTTATTGTTTTCTGTTACTCATATTTACCTGGACTCACATTGTCACTACCAATATTGTTTGTGGGTTAAATGTTCTACTTGTTCATAAATATTTACTTTCCAAAGTGTTGATTCCTGCAACATAATGATAACTAATATTTACCCAATTATAGTAGCATACCACAACATATAAATAAAAATATACAATATCGGAGTGTGCTGGTGTTAATAAAATGGTTAGCTATAAATTGGATAAAATAATAAATACATATTTTTTCCTCACTAGTAACACGACTCTGAGTTTCATGCATAACACAATCTTCAGGAGCTGATTGATAACTGACCAGTTTTCAGTCAACACCTCAATATACGTGTTTTGCATATTAGTGTTGTGATAGCATTGAGGGAAAAAATATGCATTTATTATTAATATCTAATTTACACACACTCACACACATACACACATATACATACATATATATATATATATATAATAAAAAGGCTTAAACACTAATATTCCATGGTTATAATTTATTACATTGGAATCGTAATTATGATCCAATTCATCAGGCCTACAAATCAAAAAGAAATCTTTTGATTCTGACCTTTTGAGTATCCTTTTGGAAATTTTTATATATTGTCTAGGAAATTTTTATATATATATATATGTATGTGTATGCATGTACATATATATATTTATATATTTTATATATATATATGAATATAAGATATCACACATTGAATGCTTGTGTTAATAAAATAGTGCTCGATGTAATATAACAGAGCTATTAAGTATATATTAATAAATATCCATATTGTCCCTCACCAGTAACACAGCTTGGAGTTTCATGCACAATATGCATTCAGGTGCTGAGTAGAGATTGACTGTTATATAATTTAAATTTCTAATAAAAATATCTGGTTAACATAATACTGGAACAGTTCATATATTATACAGGATTACTGATTTTTACACACACACATATATATATATATATATATATATATATATATATATATATATATATATTTATATTTTAGGCAGCAATTATTCTTTTCATGCACATTTAATTGAATACAACAGAAAAGGTGCTTTTATTTAGTTTTGCATTCACTTTCTCATGCAATCTAATAATTTTTTTTTCTTTTCAGATGATAAATTATATAAAAACTGTCCAAATTTTCTTTTTATCCAAGCGTTTTCGGCTATACATTTAGCCATTTTCAAGGATTAAATATTTTAACAGTTAAATAAGAAATAGTTTGTTGTATGTATGTTTTATATATTTATTTATAAATATAAAAGACAATAGGAAAACTGTATTAGGTGGCTTGTTTTGTCCAATGTGGACCTTTTCAAGGCAAAAACGAAATGAATTTATTAAAACAAAGTAACTATTAATAACAAAACAAAATGTTCTTAGCAAGTGGAAGAATTTAGAAAACAGTATTATATTCATATTTACATTTTGTCTTTTGCATTTATAAATATTGTCTCTTTCTACAGGTTAACTCTGAGAAATTTTTCATATATATATATATATGTTTTTGTTATGTGTTTATAAAAAATGTTTTATGTATATCAAAATATATATGTAAATAGTTATGTGTTTTCTCATATATATATATATATATATATATATATATATATATATATATATATATATATATATATATATATATATATATATATATATAGGTGTAAATGAGCATGTTCACCTCTGAATACAGCCGTGTTCCAATGTATGCATTAGACACTAAAAGTTTATATAGATATATTTGCCATGTTCAAAGGTGTGAACTTGCCTTAATATATGCAGATGTTTATATATCATATCTACTTGAAATTTTCTTTCTTCAGCCAAATGTGTGGAATACATTTGCAAGACAGTGTGAAGATGTTGGTGAGTGAAAACTCAGAGAAGATTGATTGATGATTGTCCCAATTAAAACAACAAGATGAAAACAAAGTGGCAAAAGGCAAAGGTGTTGGAATGTTAATGACTAATTAAATCTGGTTAATTAGTAAATAAATTAAAGCACATGCTGCTAATTACGATTTATCTGAATGACCTACATTCTATGGCATCATACTTAAATGCACCAATTGTTCTCATTGAGTGGAAAACAACAAATTGATTTGAATTTAAACATAGATTTATTCCCGACCAGAACATTAGCGGAGGAAATTGCTTTTTCATGAGAAGATGTAAACAAATCCGAGCCGTTTTTATGAAATGTACTAAAGTCTGAAGACTCAAATCACTATTTTCTAAGTTTGAAGAATTAAAACGAAGAGGCTGGTTTGATAATGATAAAAAATTAGTAGTTTCTGAGCTTGTAAAAAGCAAAACTATGCTGGATATTTTTAAATGATCAGAATTCTTTTCTAATCTGAGCAGAACAAAAGTGATCATCCGTCACCACAGCTTCCTTGATCTTTTTAAAGTCTATAAACTTGTATGACTTCTTGGGAAATATACTGGAGTGGTTTTCAGTTGCTTTGGCCATAGTTTTGAATTCAGAAATGTTTTTCTCCTAGACTGGCTGAAACCCAAAGCTCAATAATCCAAGCTACCCTACTGTTTACCCCATAGATATGGTTAGAAGACATAGATTGATGCCTTTTCCAAGATCATCTGACAAAAGGGAATATAACACATCTGTCAAAAATTTCATATTGGCTTGTCTATTTCACTATGACAATGAAAGTTACACTAGAGACCAAAAGTTAGGGACAATTGTTTAGATTTCAAAAGAATTGCCTAAAACTAAATTTAATAGTTCACTTCAGGTCAGAGGAACTTTTTCTCCTTGAAGAATTTTTATCATATATACAATAATAATAATAATAATAAATCATTATCTGTCTATATTTCTGAGATGAGGTATTATGTACATTATTTACATTATTCGGACTATTAACCTCATCTTTGTCACCATATTTATTATGACGTTTCAGCCATTGTACGCTCTGGCCTTCTTCAGGTTGTTTGAATGTCGAACTGAACCCTTTATTTATTTGTCAGATAAGGGACTTGTTGCTTTCCCCTATCTTTCTTGCCCTCACTATGCCCTGTGAGGGTTAAATTTTCTTTATTTCTTCTATTTTGAGTAAAAGTGTTCTTTCTGTTACCATTTTCTTTAAGACTTTCTTATTACTTGTTCCATCCATGAAATTCTCAGTATCCTACTGTAGAATCACATTTCTCCATTTTTTCTTCATCTATGGAGAGATTGTCCAGCATTCACTGCCATATAAGAGGATGGATATTACATAGCAATCCAGCACTCTTTTCTTTGTTTCTAACAAAACTTTTGAATTTCTCAGTGCTGTGCTTCGCTTTTGGAATGTTTCTTTCGCTCATCTAATGATTATTCAGATCTTAATGTTGCATTCTCTATCCTCTGTTAAAACACTTCCCAGATAGTTAAAATTCTGTACCTGCTTGATGTTTAGATTGCTAATTTGTAAATTAATATCTTGGGATTTTCCCAGCTTAGTTGGAGTTAATTAACCAAAGAAGATATTAATTATTAAATCCAGAATGTGGGTCCAAAAATTTAGCCTCTCATCTACTTTACCTATATATCAATATATTTAATATATATATAAAATACTATGCACATCAATAGTTCAGATATTTCCATAAATCACTTCTATGGCTTTTAAACGTACGGATCTTAATTGAAGATATTATATTTCCTACCAATACTTTTTTTAGGGTTACATTTTGAAAAAAGGTAGGTCAATGTTAATATTGCCAGGTTCTTTTTATATAGAATTAATGGATTTTATTTTTAATTTAACATTACTTCATATTACGCTAAATGCTATTTTAAAAAATAAAACATATTTGATTAGATGACAATTTCTTATCAATTATTTCAATTATGCTTGGTTGATTTTGTTTAGTGGCATATCAATCTCTATGGGTTCTTTAATGCCAAACTCTAAATATTTTGAACATTGTTTTATGACTTGAACTACTATTGTTGGTCATTTTGCTTTCAAAATGTATTGTTGATCATTATACAATAAATAGGTTTTTGTTGGTAACTTTTTATATAAAGATGTATTTCTGGTATTTTTACTATAAAAATGTATTTTTATACTTTCATAGTGCTTTGAAGTTCACTATTTTCCCATAGCTGGGACCCTAACAGCTGCTACCACTCTGGGTCAGAGTGGACCTCAAAACAAAAGCAATTAAATGGTGGTTCCACACCTCTCAGAAACTCCCAATTAGAGGCCTTTCTACTGGATGTAGTTTATCATCATAGCTAGAATTAATTTTAATTATGTCTACTGGCCTGTGCATTCAAAAGACTTAATTAAAAAAAATCTGGCAGGGTTTGAACCTGCATACTGTTTTGTAGGGGAAAGAAACTGTATGATCCTGGATGCTTTAAGCTGCTCAGCCACAGAGAGTTATCATAACTAAGCAATGTTCTGAATGAGAGGATGTGAAAAGGTAATTCCTGGGATGAGGATTTATCATAATTTGCATTCAGATTATTGTCCTTCTCTTTGGTCTTCAATGAGTTCTTGTCAATCATGGTAAGTTTCAGGAAGTTTCAAACCAAACTTTTATTTGATCTTTGGTGGTAGATTCCTCTTGGATAATCTCATCAAATTCTTATTTAGTATTTCTCAATTATTGCTCACCTCATCTCCACTGAGGCTAAGTACACACTACTCAGCCCAGAGATTGAACTCATATTTGCTATGACACCAATTCATTAACCAACTCTTTAATCCTCTTTAAATTAATATTTAGAGGAGAAATTGGAACCTAATAAGCAAACAACAAAGATGAGGATAATAGTCTATGTGTAAATAATTAAGAAAGTAATGAAAAACTGTGAAGTTTGTGAAAATATTTTCTAAAAGTCTTTGGAATTCAAGAATAACAGTTTAATATTTTTATTCCCTTTATATTTCAAATATTTTTTTTTCATTTTTAAAGTACAAGAAATATTCAGTTTTTATTGAATCAAGCAAATATCAAACTGAACACTGTCTTTTATTTTGTTTTTCAATTTTGAATTTTTTCTTTCTTGGATTCTCAAAATGTCATAATGTCAAATCTTTTGGAGTTCCAATCATTCTGTTGCTATTTAGATGAAATCCAACTGTGAATCTTTTAAAGAAATCTGTGGCAATTAAGAAAGTTCTCTGTTTTGATTCTCTTAAGAAATTATTTGAAGATTTTTATTATTTGAAATAAATCAACCAATGCCTAACTGTCAACAGCATTTCACATGCAATTCTCAAGTCAGATTTACCACCCTGTGGTTAAGGAGACATTTTTTCTCTCATTCTTGAACTGACTGACTTGACCAGAATTTCCGAGTGCAATATTTAATTTTATCAAATTTCTCCTTTGAGATTTCTTTGGTCACATTAATCGTAATTTTAAATGACACTGAGAAATGTATAAGAATATGAAGAGAAACTGCCTCAACAGCATGTCTTTTGGCTTGTGTGACATGCACAACTGGGGAATGGGGTGGCTTAGCAAAAGAAAAGGTTATGTGAACTAACTGTGGGGAAAATTTAATGTTTAGCCTTTTACTGCTTCTTTTATTTTATTTGCCATTGTCATCAAGCTTTTGGAATTTTCTTTTTCTGTGGTGACAGGAATTGAATCTGGGAATTAATTAGAGCAAAAAGAGAGAGAGAGAGGAATACAGAGAAAGTGAGAGAGATGGAGAGAGAAAGAGATACAAAGAGAGGAAGAGAAACAGGGAGAAAAAGAGACAGAGAGAGAAAGAGAAATAGAGAATGAAATACACATAGAGAGAGAAAGGAAGAGAGGGAGAGATAGGGAAAGAGATAGATAGAGAAATGAATAGAGAGAGAGAGAGAGAGAAAGAGAACGTTAAGATGGAGAAATGAACATGGAGAGAGAGAGAAGAAAATAGAGAGAAAGCGAGAACAAAAGTCAGAGAGAGAAAAAAGAATACAGAGAAAAAGAGAGAAGCCAAAAGACAGAGTAAGGTATACAGGAAGATAGAGAAAGCAACAGAGATAGAGAAAGAGAAGTAGAAAGAAAGGGATACAGAGAGAGATAGAAAGAGAGACAGAGAGAAAGAGAAAGAAAGGCAGAGACACAGAGAGAGAGAGAAAAAGAGAGAGAGACAGAGCAGGAAAAAAGCAGAGAGACATAGAATATATATATATATATATATATATATATATAGAAAAAGACAATCAGAGAGAGAGAGAGAGAGAGAGAGATCGACAAAGAGAAAGACAGAGAGAGAAATGAAAGAGAGACAGTGAAAAGGATACAAAGAAAGAAAGAGAGACAGAACAGGAGAGAGAGAAAGAGTCAGGGAAAGAGACACAGTGAGGGAGAGAGAAAGTGAAATAAAAACAGAGAGACAGAGAAAGAGAGAGAGAGAAAGAAAGAGAAGCAGAGAAAGAAAGAGAGGAAGAGAGACAAAAAAGAGAATCAGAGACAGAATAAAGGATACAGAGAGAAAGAGTGTCAGGGAAAGAGAAAGAGAGTGAGAGAGAAAGAAAAACAGAGAGACAGAATAAAGGATACAGAGAGAGTAAGTGAGATAGAGACATAGAATGAGAGAGAGAGAGAGAGCAAGAGATTCAAAGAGTAAGAGAAACAAAAACAGAGAGATAGAGTAAAGGATACAGGGAGAGAAAGTGAGATAGAAGGAAAGGGTTTTGGAGAAAGAGACAGAGAGAAAGAGAAAGAGATTAAAGGATACGAAAAGAGAAAGAGAAGGCAAGAAAGAGAAAGAGAGTGAGAGAAATAAAGAGAGGCAGAGAGACAGAGAAAGAGAGACAGGGTAAAGGATACAGAGAGAGAAAGACAGAAAGAAAGAGAGATCAAGAGAAAGATAACCAGAGTTATGGAGAAGGAGAAAGAGAGAGAGAGAGAGAGAGAGAGAGTAATGATAAAGATGTGAAAGCAACAAAAGAATTTGAAATAAAAAAGCAGATAAAGACATTTGAAGATCTGAAGAAATGGCCACGGAAGCTGGAAGTTGTATAAGATGAAGCTTTTCCCTTGAATTAATGAAATGGCAACACATTTCTTGCTTGGTCTTCATAAAAGTTTTTAAAGAATTTTGATGTTGTTAAGAAAAGAGGAAAAGAAAAATGATTTCCTTGTTAGCAAGAAGCAGAAGTTTTTTTTTTTTTATGGAGAAGTGAAAGGGGCTTTCTTCTAAAGAGTTCCTCAGTAAATAATTACTAATATACCACATAAAACATACACACACAAGCACACCACTTCTTCTTTTTTGTGTACCATCTCTCTTCAGGATGTAAACGATCATGGCTCTCCACAATTTCCTGTCCCTTGAGCTCTTAATAATTTCTGTCTGTTTGTTATCTCTCCTAAACATTTTAACTTCATTTACTCAAGCACTCAAGTAGATTATGCATTATTTCGCTCTATCACTGTTGCTTCCAATCTGTCCTGTGAGTATCAAATTTTCCAAGCCTTCTTTCCTCTTCCTGATATTAAGTATAAGTTTCCCTTTTGTTTCCATTTTTACTAAAACCTCATTGTTGCTCACATGTATGTTCAGTGGTATCCTCAGCATCCTTCTGTAGAACTACATTCTTGCCTCAAGTCTCTTCCTCATCTTTGAGGAGATTGCCCTACATTCACTGCCATATAAGAGGACAGATATCACATAACAATTCAGTAATCTTTTCTTTTTAAAATATATAAAAATTCTCCCTTTCTCTCTCTCCCTCTCTCTCTCTCTCTATATATATATATATATATATATATATATATATATATATATATATATATATATATTATTTATTTGAAAATTATAACATAAATATGTGATAAAATCACTACAAAATAGCCATTTATTTCAACACTTCACTGTCTTATCAAGTGATGGTGTTCAATCAACGTCATCACTTTTTCATATTTATGTTATAATTTTCAAATAAATAATTATATTTGCTCTACTCTGTATTGAGCACTCTTTTAAGAATAGTATTTGTTGGTTATTGGAATTTATTCCGTATACACAATCCTATACTTGTATATATATATATATATATATATATATATATATATATATATATATATATATATATATATATATATATATATATAATGAATGAATGGACAGCAAAAATGATGGAGGAAAGTAGTGAAGGGAGGGATATTAAAAGACAAATATTGTTATGAACTACAAAGGAAGTTGTGGAGAACTATGATCACCCATGTCCAAATGAAATACATCACATAGACAAGGAAGATATACATAAGAAGTTACTAGAAACTTCTTGGACCTGTTCATGTGTCAAAAATCTGACCAAATGACAGCTATGTTTACCCTGTAACAGCAACAAAATCTGGCACAATCAAGCTCAAACTTTGATCACATGACCACAGTCGAACCAACTATAACCCCTACATGAGTTGAAGGCAGTGTGACAAATACAAATATATGTTATGCTAAAAGTGTGGATAATTTTTGATTTACCCTGATCATTTATTTCCTAAATATGTATATATATATCTATATACAAAAAGGCAGTCCATCTAGAGGAAGGAAAGCCCTGATTTTAAACTTCTGTTATCTTGCAGTCATATCCAAACACCGAAAAGACTATGGAAGTAAATCCAGACAGAAAACCTAGAGTGGAGCTCCAAAGGCAGGTGGTTTTCAACACTGATCACTTTCTCCTGCAGCAACACCATCACCAAATGTAATACCCTTTATTTCTTTGGATATTGTCAGTTCAGCTGAGAGGAGGGTGCATGTATTCTGGGTAATGTATGAACTTCATAATCCATCACCCAAGCAACTCCAGTTTCACATGCAAAGGACTGAATTTTGGGCAAACAGGATGCTATATTTATCTCCCATGATCTATATTAATATCTATCTACATATGAGATAAATAAAGAGATATGATTATTTCGTTATTGCTTTAGCATTCAATGATTCCTCCGTTCTCTTCAAGTATTCATAAAGGTTAGTTATTCAAGCATAAGACTGCAATTATAAGGGGACCATCAAAACAGAACTCAACGTTTACTTGTCATGATTTGTTAGACCAAGCTTGTTAATCACGGCAACAGACTGTATTCATGTCAGTAATTCTAATCTTGCAGGAAAACAGAAAATCACACTTTTATATCCGTAAGAAATCAAAGACATTTTTTTAACTGGTTACACACATCAGATCAGACCAAAAATGGAGTATCTGCTGTTATATCTAGGCCGGATCTATCCAGTTGTGTCTTTCAGCCTTAACTAAAATCAAAAGTGTTTATGCAGCCTTGTGGGTGATGATTAATTTTCCTTCCTTTCCCAGTTTCTATTCTGTTGTTATTTCCATAGGGATTTTTCTGATAAGCTGCATTCCTTAGTTCCACAAGTTTAGACCATTAATTCTAAGACCCACTATGTCATTTACAAAGAGGTCAAGCATTTTCATTCCTTCTCTGTTTCATTGGTAAGAAGGAAGTTCATATTTGCACTGCTTTTTCCCCCCAAGATCCACTGCTTTGTGGAACAGATTCATAAGTGGATGCTTCCCCAAATACAATTTCAAGTCAGAATCAGTCAAGTTCTGTCCTACATGTCCTCAGAATCTACACATCCTATCCGCTTCTCTTAGTATGTCTATATTTCTGAGGTATTATGTAAACTATTTACATTACTTGGACTATTGTCCTCATCTTTGTCATCATATTTATTACAACATTTCGGCCGTTGTATGCTCCGGCCTTCTTCAGGTAGTAGGAATGTCAAACTGAGCCCTTTATTTCACTCACTGGGGTAGACTGTTCTAGTTCCATGTGCCATGTTTAATGGATGTCAGTTATCAGTTATCTCCTGTTAATTCCCCTCTCAAAGTTCTCCACTGCATTAATCGGGTATTGAATTCACACTCTTTGGGTCCTGTCACTGGATCTAACTAATGCCTTTATCAACTGTGCCATGTGTCCTTGAGGACATCTGTGTATAATAAATATGGTGACAAAGATGAGGACAATATTTCGAATAATGTAAATAGTTTATATTTTTTAGTTATATCTGAATTTTTACACAACACACATCGTATGGACATTTTTTGAATTGTTTTTTATCTACAAATGCTCTAACTTAATACTAAGCACTCTTCCTCCACAAATATAGTAAATATTAAAGACCATAATATATAAATATATATATATATATATATATATATTTATTTCACACTGGGGTAGACTGTTCTAGTTTCATGTGCCATGTTTAATGGATGTCAATTATCAGTTATCTCCTGTTAATTCCCCTCTCCAAGTTCTCCACTGCCTTAACCAGGTATTGAACTCACAATCTTTGGGTCCTGTCACTGGATCTAACTAATGCCTTTATCCACTGTGCCATGTGTCTTTGACAAGACCCAAAGAGTGTGAGTTCAATACCCGGTTAAGTTTCATGTGATATCCATTTTAGTTGTTGCTGATGTTTAAAGTCATCACTCGGTGTGGTCTCTGTTATTTGGTACTGTTTTATATTTGTGATTCTGTAGCACTAGTCCACATGTTTTAGTTATAGATCTGAGAAATCTATTGTATTAAACTGGCAGTTTAGATATTTCTCAATGGGTTTGGCAAGGCATTCATTTGAAAGTTTTGAACTGACAAGGCTATTTAAAAACATGAATCTTGTTTTCAAGTTGATATTTTGGCTCTGTAGCAATTTGTAGTGTTGGAGAAAACTATCCCCAGTGCAGCCAATTCTATATTCAATTGCCTTATCTCCTATACTAAATTCCTTATAATTGATCCAGGTACCAAGGTATAGCATTGTTTAGTACAATAATTTTTTGCAACACGCTGATGCATGTTAAAATCCTCACAGTATTTAGTATTGTTGTAGTTTTTACTAACATCTTTAGTCAAGATTTACAAACTCTGCATTTCAATTCCACTTTGCAAACCATTTGATGAAATTTGAATAAGCTGATTTGTTTGGAAAAATACTTTGGCAAAAACCCTATTTCGCAGTTTAATAATTTTTTTTAATTTAATTTAATTTCATGGAAAAATATTTTTTAAGAAAAAATTAAAAAAAAAAAATTTTTTTAAGAAAATTCCTTTTTTTTTTCTTTTTTTCCTTTTGAACAGCAAAGATTAAATTCTTAGAATTTCTTACTCTTGAGCATGTAACATAAAATTAAACATGCACAAATATTTCTTTTTGAATCATTTGGCCTCGTGATTTGTTTATAGTTCTCACAAACACAGAGCGAACTAGAAACTGGATTCTTGTATATAAAAACTTAAAGAAAAGGTATGCAAAAACAATATTGCATTTTAATTAAATAAATATTTGTTATTTTAATCAATAATTTTTTTTTAAATAGTAGGAGTATTTTGTATGTTAAATAATAAAACTTTTTCCAAAAACATTAATTAAAAATTATTATGCACCCTAATAAAACCAACAATACTTTGTACCCACTGACCTGTTTGCACTTCTCCTCGACATTTGACTTCAATTTGTCAACGTATGGCTATTTTATAGGGTGTAACAAACAGACTAACAGAAGTCACTGAATTTTATATATACATTTAATAATTAAAAACATGAAAAATGTTTAGTATTTAGATGGCCATTTGCAATATTCAGAATGATGATGCCAAGATAATTGTAGAAACGATAAAAAGTAAGCAGTGAGAATAAGATTGCAGTCTTAAAGGGAAATGAAAAAAACTAATGTAATTGTGGCAAAGAAAAAGAAAAGAAAATAGAAGTGATTTGGTTGTATTTGATGACGACAAGAAAAATCAGGAAATTTTTTTCTTATTCACTCGTACTTTGAGGTCACGAGGTGTTGTGTCAAGATTCTTTTTTTGGGGTTTTTACTTGAGCAATTTATTTAATCCACTTCCAGCTTTCTGGACCCAATGGAGATTCAACGGAGCCCAGTCAGCCATACTTTACGTATTGGCATGAAGTTGACTAGAAGAGCTGCC